TGTTGAGTGTGGATCTGCTCTGAGGGAGTGTACAGTATCATATTCCTCTAAAGACATCCTGACTCTAACCTGTTCAGGTAAGCTCCATTGACTTATTTCTCCAAATTTTGACTTATTTAGCTAAATGTGACTTTTTTTCAGTGTTTTTGACTTTTTTCTCAAATGTTTCTTTACCTCAGTTTTATCTTCTGTCCTCTCCAGACTCTGTCAGGCTGGTGAATGGGACCAGTCTGTGCTCAGGTGGACTGGAGGTGAAGTCTAACCAGTCTAACCCGTCCTGGTCCTCAGTGTGTGAGGCTGACTTTGACCAGCAGGATGCTCAGGTGGTCTGCAGGCAGCTTGGCTGTGGGGCTCCTTCAGTCCTCCAGGGGGCGCTCTATGGAGAAGGGGAGGCTCCAATGTGGACCAAAGAGTTCCAGTGTGGAGGCAATGAGTCTGCTCTCCTGGACTGTAGCTCAGCCTCAGAGAGAAACACCTGCTCACCTGGCAGAGCTGTTAGCCTCACCTGCTCAGGTAAAAGACTCGAAGGTTTTATCATCATATGCACATGAGCTTCAGAGTAGAAATGGCAATGACATGTTCCTGACCTGAGCTCCTCCAACAATGCAACATATATAATAAAATACAAAAATAAAAAATTGTGCAAGAAGTCTCATCTTGCAATCTACGTATTTATATAAATAGTTATCACTGCAATAAACCGTTCTTAATGTTGTCTTAATGTTGTCTTAATGTACATTATTTAATTTCATATTCTGTTCTCGTACATATCATATTGTATTTAGATGTATATAGACTTCTTGCACTATTTTAAAAGTTTTATTTTTTCCTCAAATGTTGACTTTTTCCTCTAAATGCTGACTTTTTTTTCACATTGTGACTTTTCCTCGAAATGTAAATATTTCCCCAAAATTAACTTATCTTAGAATTTGATTTATTTCTCCAAATTTTACATTTTCCTTAGAGTTTTTGACTTTTTTTCTGAAATGATGACTTTTTTTTAAATATTGGATATTTTTCTCGATATGTTGACTTTTTCTCAGAATTCTCGACTTTTTCCTCAAAATGTAACTTTTTGTTTTTTATTTAAATTTCTTTCTCCAAATCTGACTTTTTTCTCAAATGTTGACTTTTTTCTCAAAATGTCTCATTTATTCATTCTCACCTGCGCTAACCTGTAGCGCAGGTGCATACGACAATAACACCTTTTTAATTTGATATACATATAAATAGAATATGAAATAGAGGAGCTGCAGCTGTGGTTCATTTCATCAAACTCAATTTATTCTCTCTCTGTCTCTGATGACTCTCTTGTTTCTCTTCAGAGCCGGTCAGACTGGTGGGAGGAGAGAGTCGCTGTACAGGAGCTCTGGAGCTGAATCAGGGAGAATGGAGACCAGTGAAGGGCTCTCCCTTGACTCTGGAGGCAGCAGGTGTTGCCTGCAGAAAACTGGACTGTGGCTCTGCTGTTTCTGTAGGAAGCAGTAAGCAGTCCTCAGAGAGACCTGTGTGGGGGATCAGATCTGGCTGTGTTGAGTCTGGATCTGCTCTGAGGGAGTGTGCAACAGAAACTTCCTATTACTACTTCCTGACTCTTTCCTGTTCAGGTAAGTTCCTTTGACTTTTTCCTCAACATTTGGACTTTTTTCACCAAATGTAACTTTTTATTGAGAATTTGATATTTTTTCCTCCAAATTTGGCTTGTTGAGGTTTCCATATTGATTTGAATAATGAAAACGAAAGTTCATATAATCAAATATAATCTTTTATAACCCACAATGAAAATACATTATATTTCATGTTGTTAGGAACAGGGATAACCGCTCCTTTTTTAAGGATAGCAAATCAAACTACATTAGAACATTTTCAGACTTACTGTATGCTTTGGGAATAGCCCCTTATTTCAATCAAGAGATACTTAATTTTGTTTAATGAACATGTATTGACACATGCCATATGATAAATGTTAAGTCTTTGGCGATTAGACCCCAATCCTGAAATCGCATATCTAAAGGGGGAAATGCAGCCGTGAGCATATAGGGAACCCCCAAAAAGGAGGAGAGTGTATGAGAGATGAAGGAGATCAGACCACTTGACGAAGGATCTTACCTTACCAGGTGGCATGGATTCTGCTGAGAAATAATTGAGAATTAGACAGAGAATAGAGACAATGCGAACAAGCGAATAATATATGCGTCAAAGTGAGGCAGAGAAAGTAGTTCCATAGAGCTCGATACGGAGAAGCTGGGAGCTTGATCGGTGTCTGACAGTAATATTTAGACAGTACTAAAGCGAAGCCCGCCGATCCTTCAGCTCTTTCCTCCGGAGTATTAACTATTCTTAACCTGTTAAGCCGATAGCCCCCGCTGGAGGGGGCAAACAAAACAATTTTCACAAAAACTGTGTCTCAGGGCTTCTTAACATTTAACAACCTTAACGGGAAGAAACTCAGCTAACTGACAATATGAACCATTTTTACCTAAACCAGGGGTCGGCAACCCGCGGCCCACGGGCCGCATGCCGCCCTTTAAGCCCTCTGCTCTGGCTCCCTTGAGCTTAGACAAAAATAAGAAGGAAATAAAATAAAAGTATTTGTAGGACTATTTATATTTTGTTGCACGGTTGAAAATGTTTCGTATCTTGTATTTTGAGGTGATACTGTGACACATAAATAAAAAACAAAACGGTTTTAATTAGGTCAACTAAAAGATGCGTCACATCCTGCTACGGTCCCGCGCGAGCGCCTTTTCTTGGAGGCGAATAACCTGACCCCCGGCTCGATGAGCGAACTATGGATAAATCAAAGAAAAGTACCGGAGGAACACAGGATTTAATTCTGTGTGGACAGAGTTATATGCTTTCACAGCAAACGATGCTGGTTTACCGGTGTGTTTGATATGTAGAGAGAAGTTGTCAAAGGTGCTGCAGCCTTTACGTATCGAGGAACAACAAGGGAGAGGAAGACAGCTGACAATCTTCAGTCATAATTCAATGGGGTATGTCATTTATTTCAGAAAACACTTTTTGTTATATTCCGTGGAATGCTCTCAACGTCCCGATAGCAATGAATATCTGAAATGCTTTGACAATAAATACATACAAAAATGTTATCTCTGGAAGCCGTTGCGCTGTAAAAAGCACGACCAATCATTTTATCCGGCCCGGCTAAAATAACTGGATGGCCTCCCTGCCTGTCAGCCTTCCATCTGTGCACAAACTT